TACCATAAAATAAAATTCTATATAGACGCCAGAAAAAATATAATTCTACCTGTCACTAGTGAAGATATCTTTAACAGTAATTAGTCACTAGTAATTAAAAAGTTATTTGTTCCTTGGTTTAATAACAATTCATGTTCAGCTGTGCACGTTATAACGAGAATTTAAACGCAGGGTGATTTATAAATATATATTTGTAAAAAATTCAATTGATCATGACGTACATTAAGGTACTGTATCAGCATTTATCTGGAGTCGCAAAAATCCTGGGGCAGAATAGTATTTCCGGTAGAAAATGGAAACCTGAATTTCCCAAATACCGATATTTTAATTTGTTTCACTTTTCGAAGACTTATAAGTTGGTTAAACATCCGCAGGAACTTTTTTGTTATTAAGAGCGGGTATACGAATATACCACGCGTATATTATCATGTTTTCTGCTCTATGCAAAAACCAATAACGAGAAAGCAATAGCCTCTAACTGAAACAAACAGCTGCTGTACGTATTACTAAAAATTGTTGTTTTTACAACATTAAAGATTAATGCATGCAATTTAGTTTGAGAACAAATTGATTTGTTCATTACCATTCAAATATTAATTGAATACAGATTATATTATAACGCTCAGCATTTTAACATAGTTATATTTTAAGGAAACTAATGAAAATATTTACACGTCATACGTTTGTGTGCGAAGTGTTGTGTTTTCACAGCTTTACTTGTGTTAAAACAGCTATAAATGGTTAGCAGACGTTAAGAATAACTTGCAATTTGAGTGTCCTATGAATCGTGGAGCTATTCAAATCTATTGTCATCAGGCTCTGACATATTTTAGAAGCGAAGAACAGTAGAAAGGAAGTGTTATGTTTTATTAGCTGCGTCGTGCAGTTTAATCATATTAAATTCATTTCGAAAGAAATACGGATTAGTGGTTTTTGTACGTAATTTTTACTGAAATGAGTTCCAGAAAACCTGTGAAATATATTATATTAATAAATGTTCACAAACAGTCAAGTCTACTAACTTGAATTCCGTGCAACAAAATTCTGCAATTTACATTCTGTTGTTTATGTTGTCAGCACTGGTCAAATTAGCGCAGTGCGATTCATATGATAGGTGTACTATTTTAGAAACGGTTGACTCACATTTACTTTAAAATACTGATTAAACGAGTTTCTTCTTTGTAACACTCAGAATATTGGTAAAAATCTTGGAAACGGCGATGACTAGGACGCATTGGCTGTTAATGTCATTATCATCATCATCATCATCATCATCATGTAGCAGTGAAGGAGATGGTCCACTTGACATCTTTAGAGGTTCTTATCGGCTTCTTAATCATGTAGTTCCGTAACAGATAGGGAATTCTGTCTCATTGCATTCTGTTAACATATTAGATGCAGTTGGTCTTGTATTTCAAAATTTTGTCCAACATAGTTTTCGTTTTTTAATGTTTTCCCCACTCTCGTAAACAATCCAAGATTTCTCTTCTCATAAATTGTATTTCAGCAGCTATTAATTTACATTTAGACTTTTCGCTTTTTTTTTATCCATTGTTTGTTGCCACACAAAGCTATCAGTAGGGTATTTTAATCAACGCGTCATTGTCCAGGTTAAATACTTAGAAACCTGAAGCATAGCTTATCTGACGCAATCAAAATCTGCCAAAAAATTATGTTTCCTACTAGAAGAAGAAATTATATTGAACGATTAGAAAACATTCTCTATCTCAGATTCTTTATGAATCTTTGTCGTAAAGAGTTGTGATGAATGTTTACTCGCAGTAGATTATGTTACAGAAAAAGGGCATTTTAATGTTAAACAAACTAAATTATTTTATATGTTGCATACCGGATGAAATGAAGGCTTAAACAACTCTGGGTGACTTCATGCACTACGTAGTCAGTGTGTCCTCTCATACACACAATTTTACCACATAAGAACTTGATATATTGTTTTACAAAACAGTGCGATTGTCCATATTACTTCTGGAATATATGAAACGTTTCGTGCTATAATTTTGGGGCACTGTATGTTTTTCATTCATAGCTACGGCAGCCATTTTATTGTTGCCGTTATATCAAGAAAATGGACATCGCTGTACCATTTTTTAGTAAATAGATTTGTTGCTGTAGTGTGAGGTGGGAGTTTCTACCTCTGCTAGAGGTTAGCGGACCATTATTTACAGCGGAAATGGAGTGTTATGGTCTGAGGTAAGGGTGGAATGATAAAACGAAAGAGACAAGTATATGGGGTGAATTTGAGTAGCAGTGTTATACACTAATTATTATACAGAGAAGGAAATCCTTTTAAAACTGACGATGGGAATTCTGGGGGATGATATGGATCTGATACATTAATGAGCTTATAAAATGAAAATAGTAGTAGATCCCCCTCAGCATCAACTGGATCAGATATGTATTCAAATCAACTCAGGGACACGAGAAGGAGATGAGAAAAGGGCTGTGGCACTTGTCTGCAGCTTCTTGTTGAAGAATTGTCACTGAATTCGGGCTGTGAGAGACGGAAATATTGTGAACAGGAGGTGTCGCTGTTCTTATTAAGACAAACCTGCTCTTTCCATAGCTAAAAGACGCGAGACTTGGAATTAATTAAGTTACAGAACAGAATACACAGACTGAAGATAATGGGATGTTCGCACACTGAGACAAAAATCAGGGAGGCTGAACAATATCATGATGATATGAATTAGATTCTTTGTGACATATGGGGTCAGACTTGGCGGACTGATTTTGTGTTATAGGAACCATAACAGTGGGGTAGACACGTAGTTTTCAAATTAACTGTCTGGAAATTTTATATTTTAAGGTATGGTAAAGATTGCCGTCGATCTAAAATAGTTGCATGATGAATCTTTCATAGATTCATAAAAGTATGTAGACCTACTTTCCAGATGCTATAAATGACACGCAAGGGAAGATGATAATTTGTAAAATACTCGCGCAGAATGTGGGAATGTATGGGATTGGATTTATCTAGCTGAGGATAGGGACAGGTTTCGGGCTCTTGTATACACGGTAATGAACCAAGGAATTTATATAAAAGATGAGGAATTTGCTGGTTAACACAGCAACTATCAGCTTCTGTAAAAGTAAAATAGTGTAGTTGCGTCATATTGTGATTTATTAAATTAAAATTAAATTATTTGGTTATTCCGTCAAATCATAATGTATTTAAATTAAGATAATTAAAATAATTAAAATATCATTCTGTGTTCCATATCGAATAATCGATTCAGTAATAAACCTTGATCGGATACGGTAATACTTCTGGATCACCTCCAGACACAACTGTGTTGTCTACTATTTCATCTCTGACCGATGTTAACATCAAAAGCATCACTTCAAAGAATAAAGTCGATCCATTATATGAAAATATCTGGACACGACCTCCAAAAAACTACACTACGGAAAAAAATTGTAAAAAATTGTAATTAAAAAAATTGTAATTGAGTTTTAAATTTAATATAATTTTACACCTGATGATGGTTTAATAAAACCGAAACGTGTTGTAACTGTTCCAATTGTAAATCGATTATTCGATATGGAACACAGAATGATATTTTAATTATTTTAATTATCTTAATTTAAATACATTGTGATTTGACGGAATAACCAAATAATTTAATTTTAATTCTGTAAAAGTATTTTCCTCCTTGGAGATATAAACGTGAAAAGCCATTTCGGACGGTAAACGAGTAGAACAGTTGAACTAGGTCCAAGAAAGTCGTATGTACGGGGACACATTGAGCTGAGAGATCAATCAGAGTTTGACACTGCACAAATAAGATTTCTGTGTGGAATGAAAAGAATGAGCGGAGAAAAGGGTAAAGATGTAAGAAAAGCTGTGAAGATGAATAATGGCTTGCGATATCAAGAAATATTAAAAGAAATTGATAAATCGCGAATACTCGTACATGCTCCAAAGTAAGAGAAGGTATGCAAAGACATGGGTAGCTTCGGGTTACCAGGCTGACATAGACCCACGGCTTGTACGGAAGATAATAATCACTTTTCCAAAAGGTTGGTTTTATCAATACATTACGGAAATAAGTCCTAGATTAGGTTTGATTAAATTTATGCGTGCAACATTAAGAAATTCAGTGATTTAAATATACCGTGAATGGAAACATATAGGTTATTAGTTTAATGTATTGTCTTTTTAATTAGCCAAAGTACTTAAATGTGGTACTTGACAATACTCTGACAGATAAAAGGGCATTATTAACTTATTTTATCTGTAGTAATATGTATTAATTACAGTGTTTCCTATCCAGAATTTTTGTTCCATTATGAGGAAAACTGTACAGTAAATTCATCAGTTACTGCCTGGTAACAGTATGTTTTAATTATTCCTGTAAGAACTTATGTAACTAATAACATATACTTCAGTGTGTTTAGACAAGATACTGCATGAGAGAGTTATAATTTCTTCATTTCCGATAACACCAACTTTCCTAAATTCATTTTCTGTCAGTTTTTGGTCTGAGGAAACTACAATTTCGGAAGAGATTTCTCTGCCTTGAGTGTTGTTCCACGCTTTTAAATTGTCATATTACCCACACAATCATAAAGTATAGCTACAATTAGACGCGCATCAAGCTGAGTAGATGGATTTGGATTTTATAATATGATTATGCTAAGTTTTGTGTGTTTCAACAGTCTGACAGAGATAATCCCAGCTGGTAGGGTAATCTGTACCAGGGCCAACCTAAATGTATGTATCACAATAGCCAGAACTAGGAGATAAAAACTGTGCTTAGTTCGTCGTTAGAAACTATGTGCAGAAAAGCGCACATTTTCATTTGCGTATATAATCGGATTATTCAATGAAAGGTAATTCTGTGTTTAGTCGATTTGTTCTTTTAATAATGCCAGACCAAACACTTGCATTGAGTCTATACAAACTTGGTTCTTAAAGCGGACACAAGAGTGAGCAACTGGTTCGTTGGGCGACCAAAAGAATTTCTGTTCGGCGTGAGTGGGCTTGACACTGTAGCTAGTGAAGGTCGGTGCTCTGTCCCATTTTCTTCCCAGTGGAGTTGAGGGAACGGAGACCAACCGCCTCGTCGGTTCCCTGCAGGACAGAAGTATTCTCTCGGTGGACGTCGTATCGCCCAGGTAATTCTGTCACGTGGCCACGTCATCCTCATCGGATGTCAGAGTATTACATAATACATTTGTTGTTCTTCTTGAAAAGAATACATTTGACAATTTACGGTTTAGTCATGGCGGGCCCATTTCTGTTATCAGCACTTATCGATTCATTCCTACTTCCAGGTACTTCTGTCTTAATCTGAACCTCTCCCTGAGATATTACGAGTAGTTACACCAGGGCTGTTCAAAACTACGCTACATTATCTGAGATATCAAGAATTTCCTGGCTAAGAAGTCGAGTAGGTGCTTACTGCCTATATCGAAACGTCTTTCAAACTACACGGCGCAACAACCCAGAAAACAGCCATCTTGGGTTAAAGTGGGCGTAAACACACTATATAACCTATGTACTCGATGAAATGTCGTTATAAACAGTAGAATTTTAAGGACATTAGGCTAATATGTTTAATATTTTAATTAAACCAGAAGTTAGAAATAAAGTTTTATATATCATAAGATCTAATTAACTCTAATTTATTTGTTACGTATTGTATCTATATGTCATGAACGCACATTAACATTCAGTTATCTCATATTACAATTTTGATTAAATCATCATTCAGTAGGAAGAAACCCCTCCAGTTACAATGGAAATTAATGTTTCATAGTTCCAGCAGACCTAGGAACGAATTATTTTTACATGTAATACTGACGTATCGATTCCTGTCAAGAACACACAGGTCTGTTCAAGATATGTTGAAATCTAACAGTTGTTTCGAATTTTACACAAATAAAAATAAATACATAGCTGCGACTTTGAATTTTTTTTCCATGTTTTATTCAATTCAACAGTGATAATATCTTAAATTACGTTGTGCATAAACAGGAGAATACGTCAGCTGTTCATTCTGAGGTTCGTTTTGAAGAATTACCGCCAAGCTGAAGTCAACTATTGTACGCTAGAGTTAAGTGTTTTCCCCCTTTTCAAATTCTTATTTAATCTTAATTTCCGTTAAATTCTTGACCTCATTCGTGTTACATTTACAATTATTTTGTATGCATTTCCTGAAACCCTCATTACTGCTCAAAACATAACATATTCTAAAATTCTTTTTATGATTAGAAATCTATATAATGTGAAGTGTATATTATGAAGATATTAATATAATATTCTCCATTATCTTCTCATTTCACCTGTCTTTTATTCCGAAGTGTTATTGTGTCTGATTAAAAATATCTTCATCTTTATTTCTTCAGATCTCTGTGCGAAATTTAGTTCCCATTCAGAATTATGATCTTTAAATTAGTAATCGTGTTTATTATCATAATGTTGAACGAAATGATTCCATCATCCGGGTATTTCAGTGCTGCGAATGCTTTCACAAACTTGTTGATGCTTGAAATAAAAGAGGCTTTTCCTTGGGTTCTGTATTTCTCTTGGTCTTTTTAGTGTATTGGTAAAATTCATTTCTTATTTATTTCTTTTCAGTCTTGTATGCCATTAATAGTACTCTCCTTAACAGTCTTATGTACTGTGGGCGATCACAATAAAAAGGGAATTCAATTATCTTCATTAAAACACTTGGGATGCGTAATGAAAATAAAGTTATATAAAAATATAATACAGTTTTTCAGCAAAGCTTTTTCCTCAGTTTAGTAGACAGTCAACATAGGTCCAAATTGTTTGTCCCCTCCCCAAATTGCATCGTTGGCAGCTGCCAGCATCCGAAGAGAGACGTCACTTCGATGTGAGTTAAAGATTTCCACTCTTCGCATTATTTCCCATGTTCGTAGTTCTTTGAATCTTCTGACTTCCTCAAGTTTCACCACGGTGCCAGGTGCGCCTTCTGAAGTCGTCCTTCGTCCATCATCTGTTGTGTCGTAGAGACACTGCTTTATTTTTATACGTATCTTAATAAAGATTTCTGTATCTCAGTTATGAAAATACCACGCAGTTTTCCCCATTTCGTTTCGTAGTTCAAAATTCTTTTTATTCTCAGTAAAAACCTACACAAATCCACGTCTACAGCAAATTCAATTTGTTCCTGTAGTTCAAAATGCTTTCAGAATTATACCAGTTCAGTACTGTGCCATGCAAACCAACTCCTTTACGTGTTTTTGCTGCAACAAGCCGGACTCGTCGTGGAATGGACAGATTAAATCAAGGCTGTGGCAAACAATACAAGCCTTTAGACCGCAAAGTCTGAGTACTACATCAAACGAAATAGTCTAACATATTACTTCATTTTCTACGAACCATAGGAACAAGTTTGCACGCACGCACACACATCGACACGCATGCTCACATTTACGTACACACATATGAACTCACAACAAACTTAAATAATTCTGTCATTCATTCAGGTTTATTTAACAATGCTGCATTTAATGGTAAACGTAACTTATGAATAATAAATTTGAACGGATTTGGAAGGAAGCGATCATGGCCTGATTTTGGTGATATTGAATCTATTAGAATATTCAATATACTGAGGAAGATTCGAAACGGTGCTTATAATTCGACAACGACGTTCGATATAATTCAGCTTCTTCGCAATTTTTTTTCTACGATTCAAAGTTTAGCCTCTGATAAATAATTTGGAAGTATCTTTTCCGCCTCTACCTAAATAAACTGGCAATTTTCTTCGTTGGTAAAGGCGGTTGGACGGTGAAGCTGGCTTTTGTCATTATAATGCATTTATACGTACGTACTCGTATGTTGTGTGGAAATACGTTTCCCGTGTTTCATTTTTCAAAATTTAACTCACCGAACACAATACCATGCAGGCTTCTTTCACACACCGTTATACTATTTTTTAAATTTGCTTAGCTATAGTAATTTAAGAGGAAATATTTTGAATTAAAATGCTTTTTGGTATGATTTAATTTCTTAGTGTATTGAGCTTCTAGTGATATGACGTAGACGATACATGTAAGTTGAAGTAATCGGGCTGGGACACCCTTCATATCGTTTTATAGACTTAATTTCAGTGCAGTGTTTAAGTGACCGCTGAAAATGTCGACTAATGTAACCGTATCATCTGAGATTAGAAAAAAATATTATTTCCTTATAAGTTTACTGTTAACGACAGAGCTAACCGACTACAGACAGACACGTTACAGGGAACAGAAACTTATGTTATTACATGTTTCTACATCTAAATTAAATACCCAGGATTTATTGACACTGCGTGAACTTGTCTTACTCTAATATTAATTTTAAAAATCAGGCATTGATTCTGAACCATAGAAAGTCATATGCATAAAGTGAAAGGTGCGTGGGGTAGCTATATCAGAGTCATACGCATTCAAAACATACACACGTATTTGAAGAGAATTGGGGAGGGGCGAAAACTTCTTTAGTGGCATTGGTCTACTTCCTCTGGACCAACGTGATGAAGACAGAGTAAGGGTAAAAGATAGTCGCGAGAAGGGAGAACCAACGTCATTTCGGTTCATTACAAAGGGTGGAACGTTCCTTTTTAGGTTGAATCCCAGGCTCCGTTGTTAAAGATTCAATGTAACAAAAGGATAGATTGGCTGATGGATGAACTGACTTTGCAGGCATTTCAGGTGTTATAAGAATCGATTTGTAGCAAGACCACATACGTTTTCTTAATTAAAGAAGAAACTTCAGCAATAGTCTCTTGTGAAATTTACGTGATCTTTGTTTATTTAACGACGGTGTCAGTTGCTCATACTACGTATCGACACCGGATGATGATCAAAGATTAATTGGAAGAAAAATTATGATGAAAGCGGCTGTGGCCTGATTTAAGGTGCTATCCGGGCATTATACGGAAGGGATTGAGTAAAACCACGAAAAACCTAGTCTTCTGGTCGATACTGGAACCCGGGACCTCCCAAGGATTGATCCGAACTCTAATTCAGTGACTTACTGTACGTACTGTAGTGTAAGAGCGACCTCGAGCAAAGTAAGAATGTGTTTAGCCTAACCTCTACACAACTTTTCGTTGTTCTAGTAAATGTTTCAGATGAAGGAATCCTTACTGCTACTGTTTACTGTGTCGTTTTATTGTACACAGAACCTGATATTTGAAAACATTTTACATTTGTCAAGGTTTTCAATCTTCGTGAGTTTTAAACAAGTTTTATTTTAGTATATACTATTGTCTGATGAAAATAACTAGTTTAGAAGCATAAAATATCTAATTTTGAGGTAAAATGTAAATTAGGGTAAAATTGTGTATATTCTTTCTAATTACAAATTTATTTTCTAAGAAAAGAAAAGACTAGTTTTATACTTACCTTCTAAAGCTTCGTTCATTTGTGTGGAATAAATCTGATGAACTCAAAAGTTTCTCTGTAGCACAAATTTATCTAGGTCACATCCAAGACTTTTGCATAATTGTAGGCTGAGCTGTGCTGTTATATCTTTCAAACAACTCGGTCTTTACATTGCGTACGTATATAACAGAAAGTTGTTTTTTTCAATCTGAAAACACGCTTCTGCGCGTTTCTGTTTATTAAAGTCCACATAGCCGAGTTCTTCTTGAGATTCTTATTTTTTCTGAGCTACTCAAACAATTTTACTGTTTTATGAAATCCGAAAGTTCTTTTCTACATTCGTATCAACCCTCCAGTGCTGGGCTAGAAGAATCCAGTACACGTTAGACTCAATTTTGTAAAATTTATTTTAATATTTTGCTTAAAACTAGCCCCGCGCCTTAATACTGGTACAGTTGACCACATGAGAAGATAAAACAATGACAACACGGACTGGCTTCTGTCTCGTGTAACCAGGTATCAGTTGTAAGGGGACGATAAACCACAATTATTCAGAGAAGGCTCACTTGCCGTTTCAGAGACTAAAACCATGACAATGGACCGAAGGTACAATTATGTGCTGCTTGGTCGGCTATCGCATATCTCTTGCGGTGGTCATATGAGAGTACAGAGCAGTGGCGTGCCGATGATTATCAGAGGAAAATCGACAAATCGGAGAAAAACCTGGTTTAGTGACACTTCGTCCACCACGGAACTCAGCTGAAGTCAACCGGTAGTGAACTCAACTGAAAGATAACGCCAACATTTATAATTTATACTATGTTGTTGTAAAAGTATTACGCACAAAATTTAATCGAAATCCAAAGAAACATTCACTGTTCAAGGTTAGGATTAATCGATAAATGTCACGATTTTTAATTTGGGCAAAGCATACATACAAATGAAGGTATATTTCTTTCGGCTGGAGGCTGTGAGCAGCGGTCTTCAAAACATAACTTCGTTGTGGTTCTCACAAACTACAGTGGCGAAAATAAATAATGATAACGTTTCATGGCGTTTACTTTAATTTGCTGTGTTTTAAGAGTATTGTTGACGTCGGGCTATTTTCTGTTA